GGGGATATTGGTTAATAAGTTTTAGAGAGGTTCACGAAAAACTATTTTATAGAGATTTAATAGTCTCGAATAATTTTATTATGGGATTCAGCAAAAACTAAAAGGTATTTTATTAGTGATTGTTTTATTATACTTCTGACTTTATATTGATTAAAGCTTCGTTAATGATTATTAATTATTGTTTTATTTATATATAAATAAATAATAAATAAAATGCATAAATTGTCTTTAACACTTACTTCGATCAAACACACCTATATAATTATTGAATAATTGATAAACATTCGTTTTGCAAGCTTCATAGATCTTGCTTGACTAGTACTTACTTTGGTCAAACCCGCCTATATAATTATTGAATAATTGATAAACATTCGTTTTACAATCTTCATAGATCTTGACTTACACTTACTTCGATCAAACCCGCCTATATAATTGTCGAATAATTGATAATAATAAAACGTTAATTAAATATATTTTATAAACAGCTTCGTAGATCTCGACTTTAAGACTTACTTTGATCAAACTCGCCGATAATAATAAACGTTTATTTTGGAAACTTGATTTGCAAATAGATCTTGACTTTAACACTTATTACGACCAAGCCCGCCTATATAATTATTTGAATAATTGATAAAGCGCTCATTAAATATATTTACAAACAGCTTCATAGATCTTGACTTTTCGATACAAGCTATTCAATAATTGATGAAACATTCATTTGCAAAACTTAATAATTGATAAACGTTCATCAGTATATTTTACAAACTTGCTTTGGAAGTTTCGTATGTCGTCATACATCTTGTATTTAACAGTCTACTTTTGTTGAATTTTTTTTTTTTAGATTACACAATAAAATTTATAGTTAGTATCCCATATTTTGCGCAACTTGAAAAAAGTTGGTATATAAGTCATATAATAGTATCGACCAGGGAAATTCATGCGATGATGAAGCATCCATTATGGACACTCTATGTCTGTCTCCCTTAGGTATACAAGTCACTCCCGTTACAATGACAAGCAAAAAAAGTCAGTATACGAGATTGCCATTATAATGGGAGTTCATATAAAAGTCACGTGAAAATTGTGGTTTTTATTTTATTAACATAAAAATCTAAATTAATTTGTTTAGCCTCTCTAAAACTCTGACTTATTTTTTTTTTTTTAAATTCTTGCAAACTATCTAATCACTATAAACTTTGGTACTTGTTCTTGTGTATATAAATAAGAAGGTTTATGCAACTTTTCAATGCATCGTTAGTATTAATATGAATAATATTTTCTTCCTCCTCTTCCTCTTCTTTAGTTATGTTTTATAACTTCATCAAACCAAATTGCTAGAGTTTCTTTTAATTGTGGCCAATTTGCTTGTCGATTCTTTTTAAATTCAGAAGTTGAAACAGTTTTATCAACAGAAAGCCATTTGTTTGATTCTGATAAAATTACTGAAACTGTGCTTCGACTAATTTCAAAATCTTTAGCTAATTTATCTTGAGTTAAGCTAGGATCATTTTTGGCACACTTACATAGTTCTTTTTTTTTGCAAAGCACTTAAAAAACTTCTTTTTTTGGATGAAGGTGCAGAGGTTGAAGTCATTTTTAAAACAAAATTTAATTATGATTTTTAATAATTCATTGTCTAATTAACCAATTAGTCATATTAATCAACGTTTTATTGTTTCAATTTTTTCAGAAGTAATCAAATGTTTTTGATTGGTTCTCTCGTTATACTGACATGTCATTATAACGGGTGTCAGTATAACGGGATAAATTCTATAATTAAAAAAATTATTTTTGACAAATTATGTCATTATACTAGTATAACGGGATAAATAGTGAGTGTCATTATAACGGGCATAAATTTGTATTTATAAATTTGGTTTTTTAAAAAATGTCATTATACCATGATTGTCATTATAACGTCATTATAACGGAGTGACTTGTATGTCTCACTTTGGACCAGCTGTAAAGTCCCGCGTGGCTGAAGGTGGAACTCACGTGAGTGGCTCATGTTGGGTGTATTGACCCTTCGTGACATGACCCCTCTTTTTGTTAATTTTTATTATTTATTTAGTTGAAGGAAACATTTAAAAAAGATAAAATTCGTTAATTGATTTGATTGGTTAATTTTTGTAATGTACGAAGATCCATCAAATCAATAATAATAATAATTAGTGGCAACGACGATAACGAACCATCGTTTTTTGAGGAAGATAATAATGATTAAGATCCAGTTTGTATAGGAGTAATCGAAGTAAGCTTTAAGGACAAGATCTATGAAGCTTGCAAATATTCTAACGAACGTTTTATCAATTATTTAATAGTTTGTATAGGAGTAATCGAAATAAGCTTTAAGGACAAGATCTATGAACAAAATATACTAACAAACGTTTTATCAATTATTCAATAGTTTGTACAAGCGTTAAGGACAATATCTATGAACAAAATATTTCTAACGAACGTTTTATCAATTATTCAATAGTTTGTACAAACGTTAAGGAGAAGATCTTTAAAATTTCCCCGTATTTTTATAAATTGACCAGCATCATCAATACCTGAATAACTGTGGTGTTCCATGGCTGTTGAACATCAAACATATGTTACATCAATATAACAAATTATTATGTGCGGATTTTTTAGTATCTTTATTATATATTTCAACACATTGTAAATGTTGACAACAAAGTTCAACCAACAATATATTTTTTTGAAAACATGAATTATAAAAAGAAATTTCTATTAATTTATCAGTTACAATGTAAATTTTTATGGTAAAATTTAATAATAAATCGAATAACTTTAAACCATGATAACTTTTTTTTTCATAATAAAATTAAACAAAATTTTTTTATAGTTTTATTGCTTAAGTCCTCTATAATAGATCTATAGAGAGTTTTTCCCTCTATCTCATTTGATTATAAAGTTTTTCTATTAGTAATCTTTTTTCAATTTCTTTAGAACATATTAAAAAAAAATTTTATTTGGCAAGAAAAAAAACTATCTATAGCTTAAAAGCTTGATTTATTTTCTATAATTTCCCTTGGTCTCATGTTTGTATCTCTTTAGTTGAAGGCTCTGATACAATTTTATTTAAATAGTTTTTATATATATTATTTTGTGTTACCATAAAAATGGGTCTACCCCGTTTTATCAACAGGACGTTTTACCAACAAGATGTTTTACCAACAGGGAATTTACAGACAGGACGTTTTTAATACATTCTATCAGTTTAGCATAACATTCCTTTGTTTTTTTACCATAACCATATTATGTTATTATCATTATCCATTAAGAAATGGCATATACCTGGTGACATTAACTGATTAGCTGACTAATAAATGGTTTAACAGCTTAACCAGCTAATAAATGACTTAACAAAATTAAACAGATTAACCTGTTAATAAATGACTTAACATAATTAAACAGCTTAACTGGCTAATAAATGACATAACAGACTTAAACACAGTGTTGGCAAATCTGTCCAAATGTCCAATATCTGGATCCAAATGTCCAATTAGTATTTGGAATTGGACATGGTGTAACAAAGTCACATTGGCATACACATTGAATCTTGATTTAGAGGACCTTGATTTAGCAGATACTAATTAAAAATCTCAGTTTTACAGATAAAGTTCAAAGAACAGTTTCATAATAAACCTTAATAAAAACCTTCTTGATATAGTGGATATCTCAGTTTAACAGATTTTTGGAAAATTAACTAGTAATGTTTGTTTGTATTGAATTTTGAATACTATATGATTTTATTGTTTTTTTTTCAATGATTTTAAAGCTTTTAACTCATTATAATCTGCTTGTATATTATTTTGTTCAAGAAAATTAAAAGCAGTTTCAAAAGCTTTTTCACATTTTTTGGAAGAAGAAGATAGTTGTTGAGACATTTTAATTTCGTAGAATTTAGAGATTTATTAATTTAAAGAAATCAAAGAAAATGTCGATTATGTAGAATTATTAGAAGATATTTAATTATTATCAATTTAGAAATATGGAAAATTTGATTAATATTATTATTTAGTGATGTGTGTTTAATTATTCGTGTAAAATCATTATTTAGAAATATGAAAATTTTGATTAATATTATTATTTAGTAATGTGTGTTTAATTATTTGTGTAAAATCATTATTTAGAGAATTTTGGTTAATATTAATATTATTATTTAGTAATAGTAATGTGAGAATTATTCAATTTGTTTATATTATTATTTAGCAATGAATTAATCTTAACATAGTAATGTGTGTTTTTTTTTATAAAATCTATATCACGTGAATCCATTGTAACGCGATTAGTGACTTTTTATTATTACTATTACTAAAATCCTACCAAAAAATCCGTTGTCCGTTGAAACGCGATTTAAATATTAATATAAAATCCGTTGAAACGAGAATTTTTTAATTAATAAAATCAAGGGGTTGAAACGAGGGTTCGACTGTAGATATTTGCTTTTAAGGTAATTGATTATAAACCGAATTTTATCATAAGACGAATTTTTAAAATTTCGGTTTATCAAATTATATTAAATTCGGCTTAACAAGGATAATTTTATTAATTATGTTATTGGTTAACCAATTTTTACATCGTTATAAAGCGAAAATCGGTTTATAGTGGTTCGGCTTATCGAGGTTTAACTATATATAGTACTACTATTTATTTTTACAAATTTTAAGGCACTGGGCAAAAGTCATAACAATTGAAATTTAAACTATCCATTTTTAAAAAACTATCATTAAAGATTACCAACTTGATAAATTTAATACGTTATTTTGAAAATTTAGGGCAACTATCTATATAGGTCCTGTTGTTGTATGTAGATCAAGATGAAAAAGCCAAAGAAATTTACCAAGATTTTTTCTTACCTCTCCAATTATATATATATAAGGCTATTAATAATATTATAATTACATTATATTTTAAAGAAAATAAAGGCAATAAGTTTTCTAGAATCCTCCCATCTAACCCCCAATTTTAGTATCAGAAGATTATCATTATTATGTGTTAAAGAAATCAATGTCATCATGATTGTTGATTTGAATATCTTTTATTTCCTGAAAATGTCTAGTAACATCTTTATCGTCATGATCCTTTTCTTCTTCACTAATGCTGATATTTGCTAGAATTTCTAGAATTTCATTTTCTAAATTTTCAATTAGCACTTTTCCAAGTTTCTTTCCAATTTGCCATTGTTGATACATCGGTTCCATAATCAATGCTTGTTCAAAATTGAAAATATTCTCGTGAATACATTGATCTTTTTTATCATACAATACTTTATTAGCCCATTCAAACCATGCACATTTTGGTCTTGCTCCTGGTATCTATAGGAAAAATTTTTTTAAATAACCACATATAACATTTATCATTAAATGTGTTCCATGTATATGTTACCTGATAACTTGCACATGACATAAACCATTTTCCCTTATTATGCCGTCTAATAATTCTTCTCAAAACTATTGGTTTGCCGCAATAACATCTTGGTACAGCGGGTATATTGATAGGAAATTCAGTTATGGTATTAAAGATTACACAAAAAGTAAAATTGAAAAAGGGACAAGTGTTTAGTTCAGGATGATTGTTATTCAATGATTCTCCTCGACACATTTCATTCCATATTGGCTGATGTACATGAAAAGCACAAATTTTATTTTCCTTTGATTTACTACAATCAGACCCGTCATCACCATCATTATCCATAGTTTCGGTAGTAGATGGATTGTATAGAACGTCTTTTTCTTCAACAGTTTCCTAAATAAATAATCCCTTCTTTTTAAATTCAATGAATGAACATACAATTCCTTACATATAAATAGAAAAGGGCGCGTTTCTTACCCTTTCAGATAAGTTGGAAACCGTTTGCATGATCTTTTTATTTTCATTATCGTATTCAAGTATTCTGCCTAAACTCCAAGGATTAACATGTTCAACGTAATGACAATCATAAATAAGGATCCCTGATCTCTCAGATAAACATATGGATACAGGTTTGTCGCAAAAACATCTTGGCACGTCAGAAGAGTTAGAAGAACGTCTTTTATTATTATCCATGGCCTTAAAGTTACACACAAATTTCACATAATAATAAACGGATGGAGATATTAATATTAATATGATGAAAATAATCTTATCCGAATTGGGCGGTTAAAAGAAAGTAACACGTGCATAAAATTACTTTTACGTTAATATTAAATTCTCTTCATGGAAACACCATCATCATCTGTATTGTTAATAGATTCGATTACAAAATTTATTTTAAATCATTTTAAAAAATTAGGAAAAATTACTAAATATTCATCTAAACCTTTAATAGTTGCTATAAACGGACCTCAAGGATCTGGTAACAAAAAAAACAAAATATCAAATACAAATTAATTAATTAATTGAATAATAATAAAAGATATCTTTTTTTAGGTAAAACCACATTAGTAAATCAATTAAAATATCAACTTAAAAAGTCATTATACAATAACAGCAACAGCAACAACAACAACAATTATAATGATTCAATCGTATCATGTTCAATTGATGATTTTTATTTAAGTCACTCTGATCAATTAAAATTGTCAAGCAAATATCCGGATAACAAATTGTTAAAGTATCGTGGACAACCTGGAACTCATGATATTTTATTAGGAGTAAATTTCTTTAAAAAACTATGCGACAATCAATTCAAATATTCAACTTCCTCATCCTCACATAATCGTAGTAGTCGTGAAAAAGAAGAAGGAGAAAAGGAAGTATTATTGGTTCCATCTTATGACAAGTCGTTAAATAATGGTCAAGGTAATCGATTATCGATTGATAAATGGATAAAAAGTTATCCACCATTTGACATAATGTTATTTGAAGGATGGTGTGTTGGTTTCAAGTCATTAAAAAAAGAAGATTTGAAAAATATTTATTATGATAGCAACATTAACAATGATTGTTATTCG